CTTAAATTAATGGGTTAATCAAATTTCAAAAAAGGTTAAAAATAAACATTTCATAAAATTACTTACAACATATGCTACTAAAAGTTAATTATGTTCTACTATCATAGGATCTTCAACTAAACTTCAAACTACTTTATTTGCCATTCAAAATATTAATAATAGCCAACGATAATTAAAATCGCAGAGAAAGATTCAAATCATGATTTTTTATTTATTATATATACGGTTATATGCCCTTTAAAATTTAGTAACATAATTATGATTGATTTATATTGTATGTGACAATTTTTTTGAGAATTTTTTAAAAAGCACATTTTTCAATACAAATTTTCAACAATGATCTCCTCCTAAAACTTTTAGAAAAAATTCCTAAGAATTTAAGATATACCGAAATATGTGTGTAATCTTATTAAAGCATACACAAACTACTTTTATACGTGTGTAAAAGTTTATAAATATATTATCAATACACTATAAATATCTTATAAACATCATACAAAAACTTTATACATATTTTGTAAAACTTTAAAAAATATTTTATAAAATTTTATAAACATTTGGATCGAGTCTTCGAGTAGTAGTTACCATCTAGAATTATATTTATAAATCTTATAAAGCTTTGTAACTTTTGAGATTTGATGAATTTTTTTATAACATTTTGAGATTTAATGAAAGATATTTTTGAAAATTAACAGTTAAAAATAACATTTTTGAAAAAGAACACACCAAAATGAGAATTATATATATCATAAATATTTTTAGTGATTATTGAGTAATATCAATAAGTAATGTTTGAAGCTATCCGTATCAATTTTATAATCACAAAAGTTGGATATCATATGAATGAAGATCATTTAATGATACCACATCGTGCCCACACGAAAACTAAAATTTTAAACAATAGCTTGATACATATAATAACAGAATAGTAAGCCCGTTCATTTAATTTAACACGTGCAATTCGTTAATAATATAGTTAACTTAAAACTAAAATGTGCACCACCTTCTTCCATTACCGGTCTTACCTTTTAGATGGCCTATAACATCTTTAAAACATTGTTAATTTTAGTGATCAAATTTTTTAAAAATATTAAATTATTAGAAAAATACCAAAAATCAAGAAATATTTTTTAATAAGGTATAAGACATTCGACTTTAATGAAAATTAACTTTCTAAATTATTTGCAACAAATTTAATGATTTGTTAAGGATTTCTTTTTTTGAAATTAAAACAAATCTCTTATGTATTAAAGAAAACAAATATTAAGAGTTTTTTTGCCAACAAAAAAAAATCAAACTACTAACTGAGGGGGGTGGGGAATGAGTGCTAGAAAACAAAATGCATGGTAATTGGAATTCGAAACTGTAACATCTGATACCGACATAACATTGGACTGCATAACAAGCTAAGTAGACCAAACGGATAATTTTGACAATGTAGCCTTTAGATTACTCTTAGGGGGTGTTATTGGTTTGTGATTTAAATAGAGTTTTGATGACTTTAATAAAATCATAGAAAGTGAATAAGTGAATGATTTAGAAGAATTGTTAGAGAGTTTTCTATAGTCTTGTTGATTAGTTTTTCTATAATCTTGTAGAGTCTCCCAAACAATCTCAATATTTCAGCATACTTTCCATGACTTTATTTTGTAAAGAAAAGTGTTTAAAATCATAAACCAATAACACAATAATTGAATTCATTAACAATCATAGATTGTCATAGATTGTTTTGTTTTAGTTGAATAACACAAAACTTTTAATGACTTTATAAAACTCTTAATCCAATAACACAATATTCATTAAGATTTTAAATGACTTTTTACAAATCACAAACTAATAACACCAAACTTTAAGAGAGTTTAACAAAATCTTGATTGAATAACAACAGATTCTACACAACAATTAAAGTCATTAAAACTCTATTTAAATCACAAACCAATAACACCCCCTTATATTTTGTGGTCTATTCATTTGCCTTATGGACAGCCGGACATGCCTTCTTCACACATCAGAGCCCGATTTTCTCTTCTGATATGATCTCTTGCAACTATGGATCTCGTTTCAGTGGTAAACGCGAGAGACTATTCGTTGATTGTTTTCCTTCGGATTGCTATCTTTTGGTCTCTACTAGTTGCGCTTCTTCTAAACCATCTTGGGTTCATTGATAAACACCATCAGATGTTAAACTCTCTTTCAAAATGCATAGATGACAATTGCTATTGGTTGTTGCGTTTGTTACAACCATCAAGGAAAGCTAGGGGCAAACTTTCAAAAATGTTGGTATCTATTTTTCGAAATCGTGTTATTCACATGGACAGCTATACATTGCAATATTCAGGGTAACATGTAAGAAATAACTGAAGATGTTAATTGTAAACAAAGATAGAAAAATACATATAAGCAAATAACAAAATAACCTGTAGTTGATTATCTAGTTGAACAGGATTGCAGCTAATATTCATATAAGCAAATAACAAGCACAAACTTATGTATTATTGTAATTTTTAATAAGCAACTAACAAAAGTTTGTTTTTTAATTGTAGTATGTATGGTGAGAAAACTTGAATTACATGAACATATTGGTAAAGTTTGGAGTAAAATTTTAAAGAATTCTCTATAAAAGAGTTTTTCTCGAAGACGATGTCGTTCATGTTTGTTTTGAAAAATAATTTATGTTTGAGTTTCAGGTTGTAAAAACTAAATTCCTAAACAACGTTTTTCATTGATAATCAAATACTAAAAGTTTTAGAGTTAAATGAGTTGATGGGTTGACTCAACTCATTTACTAAATGGGTTGAGTCAACCCATCAACTCATTTAATTTGATGGGTTAGAAGGTTAAATGGGTTGACTCATTAACCTATTAATGTAATATATAAATTAATAATAATAATAATAATAATAATATTAATAATAATAATAATAATAATAATCAATGTCACTATTATTTGGCGGGAAAATCACGGATTTACGTTTTTGGCGGGAAAATTACGGATTTACGTTTTTGGCGGGAAAATTTTACATTCTCATTTTTGGTTAAAAATTATAAAAAATTTTGGCGGGAAAATCACGGATTTACGTTTTTGGCGGGAAAATCACGGATTTACGTTTTTGGCGGGAAAATTACGGATTTACGTTTTTGGCGGGAAAATCACGGATTTACATTTTTGGCGGGAAAATTACATATTTTCGTTTTTGGTTAAAAATTATAAATAATTTTGGCGGGAAATTGCGGATTTACGTTTTTGGCGGGAAAATTGCGGATTTACGTTTTTGGCGGGAAAATCACGAATTTATATTTTGATGGAAAATTGTGTATTTACATTTTTGGCGGGAAAATTAAGGACTATATTCAATCGGTTTAGAAGTTTTGGTTAGACTCAAATTGAAATCGGTTTAGAGATTTGAATTGGTTTGATTCAATTTAACAAAAATTGATGGGTTAAATGGGTAAACCATTGAAACCACTGACCCATTACAACCCAACTCATTTGATCCATCAACCCATTTGACTCAATAACTCATTTGATCCATCAACTCATTTGAGTCAAAATTTTCAACTCATTAGGGTTCATGGGTTGAGTTGAGTTTTGGTTGACCCATGAATCTTGACCCATTTTGACACCCCTAACTAAAACACTATTCCTAAGGAAAACATAACCCATATATATAAATTACTCTTTTTTTCTCATAAATCCATATTACCACGACCAATAATCACAAAGACTGTTGACTCTTAATATCATAAAAAAATAAATTTGAACAAATATACAATTAACACTTTTAGAAAACGTTTAGCCCGCTTAGGATGAATCACTACAAGAAAACATGTGAAATTTTATACGTAACGAGACCTGCATTAGATCTAATTTTAAATCGATTAGAGCTTAAATGACATCGTTTTGGGTTAACTAACGAAGTCGTTAAAAATGTTAGAAAATCTGTTAACGTTTGATAACGGTTTGTTTTTTTGGCATGATCAACATACTTTTACCGTCTTACGTATCAATCAGTTGGTTAATTATTGTTTATATTTAAATTAGTTATATGTAAAATTGGTGTATAAAATGACTAATTTTTGAAAATTGGACTATTAAATGATTATTTACCCGTTAAAAATAGCAGAGTCTGAGATTTGAAAAAGTATTTTTACAGAAATTAAGGGTGAATTTAATATATTCAGAAATAAAAGGGTCGGTTTGCAAACTTTCTTGGTTCATACTCGGTCTGCATTAGTCCCTTTCTTATCTTCTTCGCGCGCTTTTGAAAAAAATAGAAACCCGCCACTGAACGTCAGTCTTCCACGTGTCCCTCTCCGGTGCTCTGTTTCCGATCGTCGGAGACATCAATTTGCCTACATTTAGGGATTGTTCAAGTCTATTTTCAGGTTAGTGTTTATGTTTTCCAATTGACTTCCAAATTTTAGGGCTCTGTACTGTAGTATTGGGGTCAATGTATTGGGAACCAATGGCTGTTGCTCTTATTACTTTTACAATTGTTCAGACAAAATTTGGTTCTGACCACCATTAAGCTTTGGTTCTGTCCAATTTTCCCACAGACTAAAGGACTTGGTATAAAGATTTTGAGTAAAATCAAATTTCCATTGATACTGAGTCTTGTTCAATGACACTTACTCTGGTTTTTCTCGTTGTGACATTTATTGAACTAGGCAGGTTCATGGATTTTAAAGGCAAAGCAACTTTGAAGAAACACTTAGGCAACAACATGGTGAAAGAGAAAAGTAGGCAGTGTGATTCTTTATGGGATTTTAAAGACATTTCTCCTATAACAGAAGACAAACAGGTCGTTCTTGCAATATCTTTTCCCTTTGCCCTGTCTTTTTTTCTTAAAGCTAGCCATTTGATTGCTTCAAAAGCTATAAATCAAGAATATATGATCAATCTAGATGAATACTATACCGAAGATGACTACACGTATAAGGAAATATATCGCCTTTCTTTTCGCCTATAAAATGGTCCCGGTTTAGAATCTAATTCCTTTATCTCTCATTTTCTTCTGCTTCACATTCCCGCTAGTCAAATGTTAATAAGTGCACTCAACATTCTCTTAGTATGTGGAAACAAAGCATTAGCATGTTCTCTTAATCTCCTTCTCAATAGAGTTTAAAGTTGTTAATGGACAGTTACATTGGGACCCTTAAGGCTACTAATTGCCACGTTTGCCACATAATCTTCTTACTCAACCTTACCTCTCTCTATCTTTTGGGGCCACATCTTTCACATTTCATACCTTATCACCAAAACATAAATCAATCAATTTTCTTTTTCCTTACTGATTGTGTTGGATCCCTCCAAAATTAAAACTTGTGTTCCCCACAAAAGCTTACCCAATTTCACTTCAATCTTAACAAATAGGACCACCACCACCACGTACGGTTTGCATCATACAAACCACAAACTCCTTCTTCATTGCAATTATTATATCATCTACTAAAACCTCTCTCTCTCTCTTTCTTGTTCTTAGTGCTAACTTTTCATTGTTCAGGAGAAATATAATGGACCTCAAGTATGCAGCTTCTCACTGCAACTTATCCTCAGACATGAAGCTCCGGCGTCTTCACCAGCCTCGAGGAAAAGGAAGAGAAGAAGAGTATGATGCTTCTTCTCTCAGCTTGAACAATCTGTCAAAACTTATTCTTCCTCCACTTGGTGTTGCTAGCTATAACCAGAATCACATCAGGTCTAGTGGATGGATCATCTCACCTATGGACTCAAGATACAGGTACCATTAATATTGATTTTCTCTATGAAACAGAGTACCTGACAAATACATTCTTTATATCTCTCTTGTGTGGCACGAAACATCTACTGAGTTAACTGGTGAATGGTGATTATGTGTGGTTGATTCAGGTGCTGGGAGTTTTATATGGTGCTTTTAGTGGCATACTCTGCGTGGGTTTATCCCTTTGAAGTTGCATTTCTGAATTCATCACCAAAGAGGAATCTTTGTATCGCGGACAACATTGTAGACTTGTTCTTTGCGGTTGACATTGTCTTGACGTTTTTCGTTGCTTACATAGACCAAAGAACACAGCTTCTTGTCCGTGAACCTAAACAGATTGCAGTGAGGTCAGTGATTGTTGTTCATGATCTTAGTTTCACCTTTTTTATTTGATCTGATATCTTTTAGCTAAGTGGAAGAAGACAAGGTTTAGGTGACTCTTGAGCCCACACCATGTGATTCTTTTATTTTCATAATCAGTTAGATAAATTTCTGTTTTTGGAAAGAACAGAAAGATTCTACTTAGGGGGTGTTATTGGTTTATTAATTTGTAAATTCATATAGGATTTGAAATTCTTTATTAATTATGAAATCAAGATATATGGATTTTGAAATAACATGTGTTTACCCATGGATTTGAATCCTTCTATTTTTCTCTTTCAAATCCATTCAATTCCATTTAAAACATAATTTGGATTCTCAAATCCAAAAACAAATGACTAAACGAATAACATAGGATTTTAATTAGTATTTATAAATCATATAACCAATAACACATGATTTTAATTAAATTTTTAAAATCAATGATTGAATAACACATAATTTTTATTTGGATTTCCAATTCCTTATAACTTCATGAACCAATAACCCCTCCTTATATATATTAGGTGAATAGAAAGCTTTTTAATAAATGTGTTAGTTTTTCTCTAAATGCTATTTTAATATCTCATTAAAGGTACCTTTCAACATGGTTCTTGATGGATGTTGCATCAACTATACCATTTGTCGCAATTGGATACTTAATCACTGGCACATCCAAGTTGAATCTCACTTGTAATCTCTTGGGATTGCTTAGATTTTGGCGACTTCGACGCGTCAAGCACCTCTTCACAAGGTACACTAATTCCCTATGACTCCATGGCATATCTCTGATCAAACGTTTTTGAGAAAGTAGCAAGATGATCCTATGATTCGCGTTGTTTCAGACTCGAGAAGGACATAAGATACAGCTATTTCTGGATTCGCTGCCTTCGACTTCTATCCGTGAGTAAATAAATTATAAGTGAAGGAACAAGATCACATATCTTTGTAGTTGCGCAACATGATGAGGTTTGAGTATTTTTACAGGTGACATTGTTTCTAGTGCATTGTGCTGGATGCAGTTATTACCTAATTGCAGACAGATATCCACACGAAGGAAAGACATGGACTGACGCGATCCCGAATTTCACTGAGACAAGTCTTTCCATCAGATACATTGCAGCTATATATTGGTCTATCACAACAATGACCACTGTGGGGTATGGAGATCTCCATGCAAGCAACACTATTGAGATGGTATTCATAACAGTCTACATGTTATTCAATCTTGGCCTCACTGCTTACCTTATTGGTAACATGACTAATTTGGTCGTGGAAGGGACTCGCCGTACCATGGAATTTGTGAGTCTCAAAGCTCTATACAAACATTTGTTCTATTCTCTTTGTATTGTTGCTCAAGGAAGATCTTGTTGTTATGGTGGTGCAGAGGAATAGCATTGAAGCAGCGTCAAACTTTGTTAACAGAAACAGATTGCCTCCTAGATTAAAAGACCAGATATTGGCTTACATGTGTTTAAGGTTTAAAGCAGAGAGCTTAAACCAGCAACATCTTATTGACCAGCTCCCAAAATCTATCTACAAAAGCATTTGTCAACATCTTTTTCTTCCATCTGTTGAAAAAGTTTACCTCTTCAAAGGCGTCTCAAGAGAAATACTTCTTCTTATGGTGAGTGGTGACATGATTGGTTGAGTTTTGGCTTGTTGGCTAAGTTTTCTAAACAGAGGTTTTGGTGATTAGGTTTCAAAAATGAAGGCTGAGTATATACCACCAAGAGAGGATGTCATTATGCAGAACGAAGCGCCCGATGATGTTTACATAATCGTGTCAGGAGAAGTTGAGATCATTGATTCAGAGATGGAGAGAGAGTCAGTTTTAGGCACTCTACGTTGTGGAGACATATTTGGAGAAGTTGGAGCACTTTGTTGCAGACCTCAGAGTTACACTTTTCAAACTAAGTCTCTCTCACAGCTTCTCCGGCTCAAAACATCTTTCCTTATTGAGACAATGCAGATTAAACAACAAGACAATGCCACAATGCTCAAGAACTTCTTGCAGCATCACAAAAAGCTGAGTGATTTAGACATTGGTGATCTAAGGACACAACAAAATGGCGAAAACAACGGTTTTGTTCCCCCAAACATTGCCTCAAATCTCATCGCTGTTGTGTCCACAGGCAATGCAGCTCTTCTTGATGAGCTTCTTAAGGCTAAGTTAAGCCCTGACATTACAGATTCTAAAGGAAAAACTCCATTGGTAACGTTTTGCTTTCACCAAAGAACCATTTTAAACCCTTACTCATAATCATCATAGTCATTAATTCGTCGTCTTATATTCATGTTTCAGCATATAGCAGCTTCAAGAGGATATGAAGATTGTGTTTTAGTACTCCTAAAGCACGGATGCAACATCCACATAAGAGGTAACCACATCATACTCAAGAACCGTTATGTTTTATGTTCTTACAGATATGTTTTAAGCACAAGATTTTATCAAAATCTTGCAGATGTGAATGGTAACACGGCTCTATGGGAAGCAATCTCATCAAAGCATTACGCGATTTTCAGAATCCTTTATCATTTCGCAGCCATATCTGACCCTCACATAGCTGGAGATCTTCTATGTGAAGCAGTGAAACAGAACAATGTAGAAGTAATGAAGGCTCTTTTAAAACAGGGGCTTAACGTTGACACAGAGGACCACCATGGCGTCACCGCGTTGCAGGTAGCTATGGCGGAAGATCAAATGGACATGGTGAATCTCCTGGCGATGAACGGTGCAGATGTAGTTGGTGTGAATACACATGATGAGTTCACATCATTGGAGAAGTTAAGAGTTGTGGAAGAAGAAGAAGAACGAGGAAGAGTGAGTATATACAGAGGTCATCCATTGGAGAGGAGAGAAAGAAGTTGCAATGAAGCTGGGAAACTTATTCTTCTTCCTCCTTCACTTGATGACCTCAAGAAAATTGCAGGTAAGTGACTAGAGTTCAAACACCAAATTACGGTCTAAGTTCTGGTCTTGAACCGGTTCTGATTGGTTTTGGTTTATTGAGCTAACCGGTTTCGGTTTGTGTGCATGTGCTTAAAACAGGAGAGAAGTTTGGGTTTGATGGAAGTGAGACGATGGTGACGAATGAAGATGGAGCTGAGATTGACAGTATTGAAGTGATTAGAGATAACGACAAACTCTACTTTGTCGAAAACAAAATTATTTAGAAATTGAAACTTTGTAATAACGAAATAAAGTTTGAGATAAGCATGAGAGAAAAAAAATTGTAATATGTTACTGATGTTTATATGCGTCCATTAGAGTGAGATGTAACACATATTTGAATAAGAAACGTTCCATATATATATTGACAAAAAAATAGTCTTAAATCTGATATAATAAATTAAATTTTACCAAAATATATCAAAAATGAGTTCAAATTTATTAGAGACCTAATTTACTGTACCAACTTTTCAACTAGGTATATACAGTGGCGGAGGCAGGGGTTTGATAGGGGGGTCAATTGACCCCCATGAATTTTCAAAAATCCATTATATGTTATTAGCAATAATTCTAATGACCCCAACTTATAATAAATTTTGACCCCAATACAAAATTAATGTTGCAACTTGAAAGAAAAAATAGTCTAAATATTTGAAAGTTGGATTCTCACTAAAATTTTAGACCCATAATTTACCTTAAATAAAAGAAATATTCACCTAATATTATTTTAGTTTTTACGAAACAGCAAATAAAAAATATCAAATTTTTTAGTGTACTATCTTATATACAAAAAAAAAAAATTTGACCCCCATAACATAAATTTCTGTTCCGCCACTGGGTATATAGTTCCTCATATATGAAAATGTGACGTGACTGTCGTAGTATCAGTATCACATGCTATGCTACGGTTCGAATTTAGCTGAATTATTGAGTTTTAGTTATTTATTTTGGAACATATTTTTGAGGTTGTACACGTTACTTTGTTTGTAAGGGAAAAACTTTATTCTTTGGTATTATGGAATAGTCGTTGAGTCGAAGAGAATGATCCACGTGATTTCACGTGAATAATAATTCTATGATATTTCTTTGTCAATGAATCCATAAAATGATGCGACTTTTTTTGTACCAATTGAAGCTTAGACTCACTCCAAACCCTACCTTACATTTCTAGTTTTGTTAAACTGATTATTTATGAATTGAGTATGAATGTGATTAATAATAAAGCATTGTGGGGATGAATGATCATCTATAAAATGGACAATAACATAGTACCAAAATAACATTCAAACCATATCCTTGGATTTGTGATTAGTTTGAACAATATAATTCGTTGACAAGAAAAATAAACAAAAATCCATATGCATGCTGTCTAAGGACCTACAAAGAAACTCCGTTTACAATTATGGACTGTCGTCGTCGATTACCAAATTTTAGTTCGTTTAGCATTTATCAACTATCCAAATAAGAACAACTTATGAGTATCATAAATTATCAGAAAATGCGTTGGCTAAAAGGAACTCGAGCCTAAAACTTCGTTAAACAACATAAATAAAAAGTAATAAAACAATTATTTCCTTCTTTTTTTCAAATCAGTTTCTAATGTTTTGAATTATTAAAAAAATGTGTCACTGAAAGCTAATTAAAAATGCTCGTAAGTCGTAACATGGGGGCAGTGTACGGATGGGGAAATGTGAAAACCTAAAATACCAAATCTATGTAACGTCGAAGTTGCGTGCAGAGAAAAAGGGTTGGGGGTACTTACGACATTTCACAATCACGACCCTACGACATTAAATGAGTGTGAGATAATGCTATCCGTCACATGGCCTTACATTATCTATGTCTGTTTCCAAACACAAACCAACCAACAAATCTCTTTGCTATTTTTGTATTATTTTTTTCCCTTGATGATCATTAAAAAAAAAAAGATTTCGTTTTATGAGATATTTTTATATTTCTGCTTGGTTACATATTTTTTCTTAGTATTTTTAAAATGAAGATAATTTCTTTAACTAGTAAATTCACAGCCAGCCACTGGTGGTGAACCCGTAATGCCACAGCAGAAAAAGCTAAGCAATACGTTCAAAAAGTGTTTAATACGTGTAGGTCCTATTAAAATCACGTCTCATTCTTTTAACTATTTGTTTTCTTCTATTAATGGGCCTCATTCTTGGCCCGTTTACCCCTTCTGGCTGTCTTTTATCGCTAATAATAATGTACTTTGGGACTACATTTTTTGTTTTTGTTTTTGAACAGCCTACATTTGTTTATTATATTGGTGTCGTAAACATTAGGGCTGGGCAAAATATCCGTTAGATTCGCTTCGATCCGTTATTCGATTCGATTCGATTTGAAAAATCCGGATATCCGTAACTTTTCGAAGCAAATCAAATATTAAAAATAGGTATTCGTAAAAAACGGAGCAAATATCAAATACTATAATTCAAATTGGCGGATATCCGCTTCGCTCCGGAATACATACATATATATAGATTATTACATATATAAATTATAATTTTATTATTCTTGTAAGCGTTTTATAATTTTTAATCTCCGAATTAATTATTTGAACTACTAGTTTGAACAATTAAAGGAGAAATATATATATTTTTGATAAAATATTACTATTTTTAATAAAATTTTACAATTTTTGGATTAGATTTTTTATTTAATTTTTTTTGTTTAATTTGAAACAAATACTTAACGGATCGAATATCCGGCAAATAGTTTGGATTTTAACGGATATTCGAACAGACGGATATCCGGTCACTAACGAAGCAAATACGAATCGGAAAACTTAGTATTCGAAAAAAACGAATCGAATAACAAATACCACCAAAAACCCGGATATCCGCTCCGTGCCCACCCCTAGTAAACATAACATAACTTGGCTAGTTTGACACCAAATAATAATGAAAAAGGAATTTGGCAAGACAAAAAAACATAACAGAACAAAAGAATAAAACTATTCGTGAATCGTGAATGTAGAGAAAAATATCAACATTAATGATAAGATTCATTCGTTAGAAACTCATTTTTAAAATGGTGGAGATATAAAATCGAATTAAAAACTAAAGTGTACTGTATTTATAGATTTTCTCATGTTTGATCACTCATTTTCTAGGTTCCGCCAACCTATTGTGATTAATTTTCCATTTTTCCTACTAAAACCACTTTTATGAGACAATTTGACAATTTTGTAAATTAATCATCAAAAAGTCAAAACATTGATTTTGTCGTTTTATATTTGGAAAAAACGAGTGAAACTTGATAACAAAACATAGACCTTGTACATAAGTAAAAGATTAGGAATATCAAATATCTCTAGCCTGCGTATACGTCGGTGACTTGGTGGTTGTATCTACAATTAAACCATACTCTTAAGTACTCTTTTTCATTATTTGTTAAGCAAAATCCCTAAGTATGTGCTATTTTATTTTCCATGAAATGCGGTCGAGGAATGTGGTTTGTTCGTCTAGTTGTTTATAGTCAAATTAAAGTAATGATTGAAAATCACATGATGGATAAATAATTAAACTTTTGAAGTTTTGAAAGTTGATATTGCCAACATCACAATGACATCAAATTTGAATAAAAAGTAAAATATTTTGTGTTTTAAACAAAATAAGACAAAAATGTAAAATGGAAATGACTTTTGGGTTCAAGGTAATGATAATTGCAGAAGATTTTAAACGTGAAAAAGGGTCAACTCCGATTTAGAGGTTTTATTCTTGTAATCCATAAAGTTTAACTTACTTTTGCTATTTTCTCGGGAAACATTCACCAAGAAATCGAAAAATTATCAAGTTCCGAGGGGTCCAGGAATAAATTTGAGTGGAATTTATATTCTTCCATCTCATTTTTATGCCTCCCACCTATATGTAATTGTTTAAATAAATTGTGTTAGAGAAGCGAAAAACAATACGAACTGAGTATTTTGTAAAAATGTAACAAATGAATCTTACCTATAAATTTTCAAATAACCTATTTTTAGCATAATTTTGCTAGAAGAGTCTTCATCATGAAATTGGTTTTTAATTAAGAATTTGGCAATTTACATCTTAAGACCTATAATTTGGTTAGCTTGTCCCTTGAAAGGTAGAAATGATTCATATATTTATTTGCTTAAAATCAAGTTTGGTGAGGAGAGTTAATGAGTTGGGTGGTATATAGATAGTGAGGAGACATAAAGCTTCTAGGGTGTTGAGAATATATATCATTAATGGTAAATTTAACATCAAATAAAATCTACAGTATCTCTTCTTCTTTTTTTTTTTGCTAAAGTATAAAATAAAAATATGTGTTGCAACAAAAAAAAACCAATAGGAAAAAATGACAAATGTGTAATGATTTTACAGTATGAAAAATATGATAATGAGTCCCAACTTGACTAATCACATCCTTTATTATATAAAGCAGAAGTCAATCAGCAATTGTAGTTGCGACATGTGTCATCAACAATTTTTAAATTAATTAATTATTATTTTCTTTTTTTTTTTCTTTTTTTTTTCTCGAGAATTATTATCTTTTCTTAAATTCTTTATTATACCCACGATCTCTTTTTCAATGTGTCATCTTTTCTTTATTTGATTTAATTACCTTTGTCGAGAACTAACTTTTTCCTTTTTAAGGCTAAGAAAAAAACAATCCCACGATCTCTTATTTCCAATCCACGATCCCAAACTAACTTCCGACTCTCATCGGTTTCATCAACTCAGTTTCCTTAAATCACCATGTATATATATCTCACAAATCAGTTATAACAATTGTTCCTCCATTCATTTTCTTCAATTCACCATCCGTTCTGCAAAAAAAAAACTGTAGCTACTTTTACGGAATCGTATTTTCTACTTTTACGAGCCCGATCCATTAACACCAACTGTTCTTACTCACCGTTATTTCCATTCAACCATCCACCGCTCCGGTAGTCTTCATCCTCCTATCATAAAGGTGAGTCCAGTTACCTAAGTAAGTTAAGTAACCATAGAATCTTAAAACATTTATACACAAACATAAAAGTTGATGGTCTGGCTTTCTCTTTTCATTTTTTATATATTTAGTGGCAGGTATTATTGTCACCGTTTGCAACATCAAACTTGATTTTACACTTATTGCTCGACTAGCTAGCATCCGTGACTGAGAACGAAATTTGGTTTCGATATATTTCTCTACACTTTCATAGACAACTTTTTAAATCTAATTTTTTCCTTTGTTTATGACAGGGAGACCGTATACAAGCATGCATCAGAGAAAACTTAAAACATAAAGTTTGAAACAATATTCACGAGAAAGAATGTTGTATTCTGAATCTTTTCCTGAAGTTTTGTCTCCTAATCTTGGGGGTTACAGGGGAACTGGACACATTTAAAAATCTTCCTCGCTTGGTCAACACATGTAAGGCTTTGCAAGCAAAATCCAAATCACTCACTTCGTTTGAGTGTAATCCCTTTTGATGATCAGCTTCAGACAAATGACGAAAGTGTTTTCGTTGGTACATGTTATCACCATCATGTATTCTTACAAAGTTACACATCTCCTTCATATTCTTATGACCTTTTTAATGTAATTGGCAAAATCTTTGAACTAATTGATCTTAAAGAAATTACTGTTCGAAATGCTGCATGTAAATTGTTTAGGGAGAGGTCTTGGAATATCATCATATGCTTTCATCATGACAGATATGATACATAAGGACAATCAAATCAAATGCTTGAATGGAGAAGTTTGAAGAAGAACCCGAAAGTTTCTACAACAAAGAATAATATAACTAAGTGACATGAAAACATTAGGAGATGAAGGCGTGTTTAACAACTTTAGTTTACGACATTATTAGATTTTGCTTTTTAATTTATTCAAAGTTTAGGCAGTTTGTTTAACCAAAAAAAAAGTTTGGAGTTTCACTTAATGTCTATGCTCATTAAAGCAAAGAAGATAGAGAATTCATATAAAGCGAGTTTAGAGATTAAAACATTTAATCACGCATAAATTGTTATAATTTCTGAATTTTTCTAGGAATAATTTAATACTTTAAATGATATTGCCCATGCATAGCATGGGCCAAAATACTAGTTGTGTATAAAAAAGAAACATTAGAACATATTTACTTACAGTAAAACCTCTATAAATTAATAATGTTGGAACCATGATATTTTATTAATTTATAGTGATATTAATTTATCCATAAATTAATATTTATTAATTTATAGTGTAAATTAATATTTATTAATTTGTAGAAAGTTTTGTTTTAATTATGAAAACTTTTTTTAAAAATACTAGCTAAAACAATGTGATCTAAATAAAATTAATGTTTAGGATGTTATAAATTTTATAGGTTTAGCCTTAAACACTTAATATTTTGAAGAGAATATAATATATTTTGACAATGAATAACAACGATTATAGAATTCACATATACAAACGATATACATAAATTAAAATTCATAAATAGTGACATCCATTGTTGTATTTTAAAAATCTATACGACTATTAAAACAAAAAACTATACATATTCAAAATTTGAAAACTTAAAAAAACTTTTAGCTATTTTTATGAAAAACACTAAAACCCTTGTTTAAAAAATCGCTAGGCGCTAGTCGGGCGGTGAGGGTGGGCCTAGCGCCTAGCAAGAAAATCGGATATTAAACGGGGATTAATCGGGGACTAGTTTTAAGGCTATTTAATATTTTAAAAACATATTAATCCATTATAAATAAGAAATTTATATAATCTTGTTTAAAAAATTATATTAAACACATGAAAACAAGAATTTAAGATCAAACTTATGATTTTTATATAAATTATGAACATAAGTGGGACGTTTTGAATTTTAGATCCAAAAAAAAAAAAAAAAAAAGTAAAAAAAAAAAAAAAAAAAATTGGGCTAGGCGCCGTCTAGGCGGGCTAGGCGGACGCCTAGGCGGTCTAGGCGGACAAAAATCGGATCACCGATTTTTTTTACCGATTTGGACAAAATCGCCGCGGTCTCCATCCGATCAGCGCCTAGGCGGCTAGGCGGCCGATTTTTAGAACAGGGACTAAAACTATTATATATAGATATATATGCATATTTACATGATTATTAATTTATGATATTATTGGGACTATATTTTTACATAGGGATATCAAAAAAATTATTATCTTATTATCTTATCGAATTTGGTTAATTTTTACACTGGCCCGACTCGGAACCGGCCAAATTTATTAATTTATCGTGTTTATTAATTTATCGAGTATTAATTTATAGAGGTTCTACTTTAGTGAAAAAAATGCTCTAAGATATTTTGATTATCCCAATCATAATATACAACATCCCATAATTTTCCAGTTTTAAATAATAAAACAAGCAATCGAAAAAAAAAAACAATTATTATGACAAAAAATTTGGTACATAATTTTGCGTCATTTATGTAAGTACCACAAACTCTGCATATATGGTCACACTGCACCTGCTCATTATCTTTCTCTCTCTAACGAATTCATAAATTTATTATCTTCTTCTTCTTCAACCTTCCAAAATTCTCTCTCTCTACTCTGCAACAATGGATAGTCCGACGAGCATACGTAGTAAACCACCACCGGAGACTCTTTCTCCATGCGGTAGTCAACGACGGAGAAGCAGCTGCGACTCTAACCCACCTGAGTTCGAGTTCTGGCGTTTAACCAACTCTTCATTTCCTCAAGCTGATTCAGATCTCCTCTCCGCCGACGAGCTTTTCCACGACGGTGTTCTTCTTCCTCTTCACCTCCTCTCCGTGAAGTCAGAGCTTCAGTCCGACCCGAATATCGTAGAATGCGACCCGGATCCATCTCCTTCACCGGTTAGTTTGATTACAGAGCAAAAGAATGATCTTGAACCCGGTTTAGGATCCGAGTTGACCCGAGAAACAACGGTTTCGAAGCGGTGGAGAGATATTTTCAGAAAGAGCGAAACCAAACCACCGGGGAAAAAAGAGAAGGTGAAAGAGAATAAGAAGGAGAAGAAGAAAACCGGGTCGGGTCCGGGTTCGGGTTCGGGTTCGGGTTCAGGAGCAGAGCTGAACATCAACATTTGGCCGTTTTCAAGAAGTAGATCCGCAGGGAACAACGTGACCCGACCCAGAATGTCGTTTGGAGCTCCGACGACCCGGAAAGTCAGTAGTGCGCCGTGTTCACGTAGTAACTCCACCGGCGAATCCAAATCGAGGAAGTGGCCGAGTAGTCCTGGTCGTAACGGCGTGCATCTTGGTCGGAGCAGTCCGGTTTGGCAAGTCCGTCGAGGAGGTGGAGCTCCGGTTGGGAAAACGATACCCGAACCGATGGGTCGGGTTGTGGGTAAAAGGGAGATTCCCGAGACGCGTAAGGGTAAAACGGTCATTGAGAGCAATAAAGCAAAAGTCTTGAACTTGAACGTGCCTATGTGCATCGGTTATCGGAGCCGGTTAAGCTGCAGAACCGAAGAGAGTGGTGGTGGTAATAGTAACATTGGGAGTGACAATAATAATAGTAACGCCAACGCTAATAATCCTAATCCTAATGGTTTATTTGGCTTTCGTAATCTCTTCATTAAGAAAGTTTATTGACTTTATTTGTTTTGTTTTGTTTTGTATTATAGTAATCATGTAAAAGTGTTCATTTTATCAAAAGACCCTCTTAATATATAGTCTCGAGGGTCCATTTTTATTGTTCTTAATTTCGGTTTTTTATAATTGGCTGCTTTTGCTGTTAGTACGATGTGTGGATTTAGGTAGATTATCGTATTTGCTTATATATATATCATGTAATTAAGAACTCGATGCTTATTAATATGTAACTACAATTTCTCCATTTTCTATGGTTTGATTTCATGTTGACGTAAACTAAGGTTTGTAATATTTTAGTGCAGGTAAAATGGTATTTGTTAAAACATATAGAGGAAACAGATTATTAATTTACTTTTGAAAATTGGAATGTATTGAGTTTGTGTTGTGGAATCAAATTCCAAATATTTTAGATTGTTTTCTTCACAAGTTTTACTTCTTAAGCTACTTTGCTAGTTTCAAAGGTGGTATCCTTTTGAAAATATTGGAGTTAGGTCCACTTTCGTTTTTAACCAAGTAATTCATAGCGCGTTCTTGCGACAATACTTGTAGTGAGTCTAGTGACAATAACATGAGTCAGAAGATGTTCTCAAAGTTGAAAGAGTGTTAAGACCTGGCTTTACCTTCTAGGTCTACAAGGTTTATTCATGGGTTCTTTAAGAAATATGAAACAAATTGATTCTTAATTTGGGAGACAAGACAGTGTTTTTGGTAGCCATGAGAAAAACACAGTTGATATCTTTATTTTCAGTTAGACTCCACAACAAAAGCATATAATTTGTACCCCATTTCCTAGTTAGTTTGTATTTAAACCTTTGTGCATTGCATATATAAAACTTATAAAAAAATAAACAGAACGTCATCATCATTAGTTAGAGAAAAAACACATTAAAGAGGAAAACCTAATAGTTGAGAGCAATCATGTCTGCGTGAAACTTGGTAAGAACCATCAAGCTCTAGAGAGTTGAATGGATGAACAATCAAATTTGTGCAGTTTCTCCAACTTTTAACAAAAAAAAACCAAACACGTACGTCATTATCATTGATTAGAGAAAAACAATATATGGAAGAAGTTGAAATCAATCAAGTTTGTGTGAAACTTGGTAAGAACCATCGAGCACTAGAGAGTTGAGCTGATGAACAATCAAATTTGTGCACTCGCTCCATTTTCTGTGTCTCGATATCGAAGATAAATTTATCATGAATGATATTTCCATGACTACCACTGAAATAGATGCAATTTCTTTTGAGCCCCTCAATGTCATTGGCGAGCACAGTGATACCTAGATCCAAAAGTATTGCCTCGTCGCCCAAAGATTCAACTTTTTCATATTTCTTAAAGGACTCTGATGAATAAACCTTGTATACGTCAAAAAACCTGCCAATTCTGGTTTTACGCTCCCATATTCTGTCAACCTTGAGGACATCTCCAGTTACTGTGACAACAAGTTTTGTATCAATAATACTAAAGGGATAACCTGGTTGACCACGATGACGATTTAATGTAAGTCCTTGCATAATGACACAACCTTGAAAGGTTTGTTGCGGAATCTCTCTAGAGAAATCAAAGATTCTGAATTCATATTTGTAGTTAGACTTGGAGAGGTAAAGCTTGTGATCCTTGTAAACCATGTGATGACAATGTGAAGTTTCTGGAATTTGATTCCAACATTTATCTTCTTTCTTGGAATAAACCACACACAAACTTCCAAGTCCCCATATAACTACGTAGTCTTTGGTTTTCTCGTCGATCCAAAACACAGGGGATCGTATTCTAATACGTTTGTGGTACTCCCTACCGTTGTAATGGGGTGAAATGCGAAACTGATCATCTATGGTTCGCTCGATCTTTGTCATCCCAAGTTGTGACTCAAAAGGAGGTAGATTGATCATCTCGCGAGTGAATAGATTCAGAATATAGAGATTATACGATGGATCTCGCATAAGGAGCCAGCTTCCGTAGGTTGCAGTACAAACACTCTTTGCAAATTCAACACCAAGATCATTCGTTTTGTAAACTTTGCCTTTTTCCTCGGGATTGAACAACGTGCATGAATTGTTGTTGTTGTCGTCTTCCGGGAATAGAATCAGCCAAGGGATCTGTATGGGAACGGATTGTCGCGATGCGGAGTGCCAAGACGAACAGACGGATTTAGCTCGTTGGAAATTAGCAAAGCTGAGGCGTTCGAACACTGAAGTCAAGAGATCTAGAGGAAGCTCCGACCAGGAATTGGGTGTATTTCGTCTGAGACTCTTAGAAGAAGTAGGGCTACGCCACTTCTCCATGGAAAATTGAAAGAGAGATCGAGACGATTGAATGTTTTGTGTTACTTAAGAAGTTATGTCTTATTTTAACCTAAACCTAGGATTTCATTGCCACATAAGTTAGATTTATATGCTTATAAGCTTATTTATTATATGGGCTTCAGCGGCCTAGTCTTTTGTCTTATAGGCATGTTACTTTAAAAATTCCAAATAATATTTCTAATTGGTTTTTGCATAAAAATAGTAAAAAAGAGGAAAAATATGTTTTCCCGAGTTTTTAGGAGAACTAACAAACTTTGAAAGAGTAAGTAGAAATATGTGTTGAAAACTAAACAAACGTAATAGACCGATGAAGACGCATTCAAGTTTTACTAGAGCCTCTACTATAAAGTATTCTACTACGCTAAGTCAAGAATCGGTTCCACTAAAAGCGTTTATAGAAAACAGTGGCAAATTTTGGATACTAATTAAGTTTACAAAGTAAATAATCTTTGTCATTCCAAGTTGTGACTCCACAGGAGGTAGATTAATCCTCTCGCGGGTGAATGGATTCAAAATGTTTAGATTATACTTTGAATCTTGCATAAGGAGCCAACTTTCATAGGTTGCAATACAATCACTCTTTGCATATTCTTCACCAAGATCTTGTGTTTTGTAAAGTTTGTATTTTTCTTCCGGATTGAATAACGTGCATGAATTGCTCTTGTTGTCATTGGGGAATAGAATCAACCAAGGGATTTGATTTTTGGGACGCTTAGGGTAATAGGGTTATGCCTCTTCTCCATGGAAATTGAAAGATTGAATGTATTGTCTTGCCACATAAGTTACGTCTTATGCCAACCTAAACCTAGGAATTCATTGGTAACGCGTACGGAAAGAGGTCGTTTTTCAATATGGACTTCAGCGGCCCAGTCATGGATCGGTCCACAAAAGCGCTTTTAATAAAACAGTGGCAACTTTTGGATGGTACAGTAGTTAAGTTACCAATGTTTACAAGGTATTAATTTTGCATTACCCAAGTCAAGTCTTATCTTGTAATCGACATTTTATTTTACTAATGAATGTTTGGATATCAAATAAAAAAAGGAACACGTACATTACAATTCACACACTATCTTAGGATAGACATTAATTTCTTTCAAAAGAGTAGCAATTTTTTTCGATCAATTAGACTCCACAACAGAAACCCATTAAGCATATCATTTTTTTTAATGAATGTAAAATTTACTCAACAAAAAAAATACTCTGTTTACAATGAATGCATCTTTTAGTAGAGTTTTTATAAGAAATCATATAAAATAGTTAAATTCAAACCAAACTTTTGGTTTGGTTGGAACTTGGAAGTCTCTAAACTCTTGCCAAATCTCTCGAACCAAACCAAATTTGCAACCCATCCTTAACCTTAGAGTCAGCTTGCGTTAAGGAGCATAGTCGATTACGGACCAACATATTACACATTTGCTACTTTGATTTGTATTTTAACCTTTGTGTAGAAATAACTTTTAACTAAAAACCCAACACATCATCATTATCCATTAGCCAAAAATAACATATTTGAAGAAGAAAGTAGAACTCATCGTGTATGCGTTAAAATTGGTAAGAACCTGAGAACCATCGAGCTCTAGAGAGTTGAACTGCCGAACAATCAAATCTTTGCAGTGACTCCATCTTTTTTGTATTTAAACCTTTGTGCATTGCATATATAAAACTTATAAAAAAATAAACAGAACGTCATCATCATTAGTTAGAGAAAAACACATACTATAAAGAGGAAAACCTAATAGTTGAGAGCAATCATGTCTGCGTGAAACTTGGTAAGAACTAAGAACCATCAAGCTCTAGAGAGTTGAATGGATGAACAATCAAATTTGTGCAGTTTCTCCAACTTTTAACAAAAAAAAAACCAAACACGTACGTCATTATCATTGATTAGAGAAAAACAATATATTGAAGAAGTTGAAATCAATCAAGTTTGTGTGAAACTTGGTAAGAACCATCGAGCACTAGAGAGTTGAGCAGATGAACAATCAAGTTTGTGCACTCGCTCCATTTTCTGTGTCTCGATATCGAAGATAAAATTTTCATGACTACCACTGAAATAGATGCAATTTCTTTTGAGCCCCTCAATGTCATTGGCGAGCACAGTGATACCTAGATCCAAAAGCATTGCCTCGTCGCCCAAAGATTCAACTTCTTCATAATTCTTAAGGACTCTGATGAATAAACCTTGTATACGTCAAAAAACCTGCAAATTCTGGTTTTACGCTCCCATATTCTGTCAACCTTGAGGACATCTCCATTTACTGTGACTACAAGTTTTGTAGTAACAGTGCTGTGGGAATAGCCTGGTTGACCATGACGACGATGATTTAATATAAGTCCTTGCATAATGACAATACCTTGAAAGGTTTGTTGCGGAGTCTCTCTAGAGAAATCAAAGATTCTGAAATCACATTGGTAGCCAGAGCCAGAGAAGTAAAGCTTGTGATCTTTGTAAACCATGTCACAACAATCTGAAATTTCCGGAATCTGATTCCACGAGGTATCTCCTTTCTTGGAATAAACCACAGACCATCTTCCAAGTCCCCATATAACTATGTAATCTTTGGTTTTCTCGTCGATCCAAAACACACAGGGTCCTATATAAAGACCTATGTACTCCATACTGATCATGTTGTGATCGTGTGAAATAATGCGAAAGCAATCATCTATGGTTCGCTCGATCTTTGTCATTCCAAGTTGTGACTCCACAGGAGGTAGATTGATCCTCTCTCGGGTGAATATATTCAAAATGTATAAATTAAACCGAGGATCTCGCATAAGGAGCCAACTTCCATAGGTTGCCTTACAAAGGCTCTTTGCAAATTCTTCACCAAGATCTTTCGTTTTGTAAAGTTTGTGTTTCTCCTCGGGATTGAACAACGTGCATGAGTTATTGTTGTCATTGTCTCTGGGGA